AATATGCTGACTCTGTAAACCGCTTAGAGAGGGCTGAAAGCCCTGTGAAGCGGGATATAAGTCTAACTGCTATTGCTATTTTGTTATTTCTAGGTTATGGCCTGCTTGCCATTGGAATTGGAGCCTTTGTTTTCGGGAGTTACACTATTTACAGGTGGAACTGGGAGAGGAGGTAAGTTTGCCATCGTTCCCTTTGTTTAATTGGCCCGAAAAAAATATGCATGACAGTCTCAGGTTACCTTTGCTTCAGTAGAGGTAGTCCTCCACTTGCAACCGTTCATTTAGTGACCGTTCAAAGTTACAACGGCACTGGAAATAAAGTGGCATGACCACTTACGATCACAGTTTTGACCCAGGGTCACTTACTTCAAATTTGGATGTTTGGCAACTGGTTCATAGTTATGACGGTTGCAGTGTCCCAAGGTACGGGATCCCCTTTTGCGACCTTCTGACAAGCAAAGTCAGTGGGGGAAGCCAGACTCACTTTACAACCGGGTTGCTAATTTTATCAACTGCAGTGATTCAACTTAACAGCGGTGGCAAGAAAGGTCATAAAATGGGGCAGAACTCACTTAACAAATGTCTGACGTAACAATATAAATTTTGGGCTCAAGTGTGGTTGTAAGTCGAGGACTACCTTTACCTTAACCCAGAGGCATCGAAACTTGGGAACTTTAAGACTTGTGGACTTCAACTCCCAGAATTCCCCAGCCAGCATGCTGGGAATTCTGGGAGTTGAAGTCCACAAGTCTTCCCAAGTTTCGACACCCCTGCCTTAACCCAGGTAGTGATTTTGTCTGGGTTTCGTTGCGTACACATGGCACTCTGCTAATTGTGATTTATTCATTAATCTATGATTAAGAAAACCTTTGTTTTGTTGTATGAGAGCTGCATGTATGTGCAAAGCCGGGGAGAGTTCTGCGGAAAATTAGAGTGATATACATTTAATCAACAGATCAAGTTTTATATAGAGAATTTTGAGATGGAAACAGTTATGTGGAGAAGTTTAGTACTGCGTGAAAGTAACAGGGCCCACCTGACTGTTTTGCCATCCTCTATGGATGCTAAAAGAAACGAGGTGGCTAAGGCGCTGAGCCTGTTGATCAGAAAGGTCGGCAGTTTGGCGGTTTGAATCCCTAGTGGTGCGTAATAGAGTGAGCTCCCGTTACTTGTCCTAGCTTCTGCCAACCTAGCAGTTTGAAAGCATGTAAAAATGCAAGTAGAAAAATAGGGACCACCTTTGGTGGGAAGGTTAACAGTGGTCCGTGCGCCTCTGGTGTTTAGTCATGCCGGCCACATGACCACGGAGACGTCTTCAGACAGTGCTGGCTCTTCGGCTTTGAAACGGTGAGCACTGCCCCCTAGAGTCGAAGGTCTCGAAGGACCTGGATGGTGTCCACAAGTTTTATTTCCTCTTCAGAAAAGAAGGGTGGATGAGTTCTGGGCTTTTTTTTTTCCAACCCTGGTAATTTAATATGTGTGAATGTCAATTCCCAGAGTCCCCTAGCTCAGGGGTCTCCAACCTTGGCAACTTTAAGACTTATGGACTTCAACTCCCAGAGTTCCTCAGCCAGCAAAGCTGAACTCTGGGAGTTGAAGTCCACAAGTCTTAAAAGTTGCCAAGGTTGGGGACCCCTGCCCTAGCTAACATGGGTAGACTTTCAATGAAGCATTCTCCAGCCGCCATGCTAAGAATTGAAGCCCATATATCCTAAAGTTGCTGAGCTTGGGAACCCACCGTGTTACAAGATCTGGAAAGCAGCTTTCTCCTTTCTGAGCACGTTTTGTTGTCACCTCCCTGATCTTTTCCTGCCTTTTCTAGGCTGCTGGCCTTTGAGGATGCGGAAGCCAGGATAGCACTCATGCCTCTCTTGATGGCTGAGGATGACCGCAAGTAAGTTCAGCTCTCCAGGCCTGGACGCCGAGAGACTCTTTACCTCCCTTCTCCCTTTCACCTAAGCCAGTGTTCCTCAGCCTCAGCAACTTTAAGATGTGTGGACTTCAACTCCCAGAATACCCCAGCCAGTCCTGTGGGCTGGGGATTTCTGGGAGTTGAGGTCCATCTTAAAGCCACTGAGGGTGGAAAAAACACAGATCTACTGTATTTTTCAGACTATAAGACGCACTGGAGTATAAGACACACCATGATGGTAAATTTTTTAAAAAGGTTTTTGCACTCTGCAGCCCTCCAAAGCCCTCTTTTTTGCAAAAAAAAAGGGGGGGGCATGCAGAGGTTTTGGGAGGCTTGTAGAGTGCTTGGGGGGGGCAAAAACTGGCCGTTTTTTGCTCCTTTTTGGTTCCACCACAAAATCGCGGAGGACAAAAGCGCGCTCGACGAAAGCGCGCATTTGACGTCATCACAGCGCGACGAAAACATCGCGCTGTGATCGAAAAATGTAAAAATAAAGCTAAAACCTTCCCCTACCCCCCCCCCAAACCTAACCCTAAACCTAACCCTAAACCTAACCCTAAATCTAACCC